GTGACATTTCTCCATCTCTGTCTGTCAGGGAGAGTCTGACTCATTCTCTGTCACTGTCACATATTTTTCAGATCTGCCAAAGTACAGCAGGTGCTAATCCAGTTGTTACGCTCCAATTTTACAATTTCGTGAAATTCTGGTCCAAAATAAGGCATTCTTTGTGTGTAGAATGAGAACATATTAGCATTTTACAAGCCTGTCCCACCTCCAGATTTGCATGATTATACACCAGAGGACAGAAAGTCTTGCAATTACTATATTTACCAAGATAATTTTTTAAATAAATTATCATATACCAGTGCGGTTCAGAGGAGTTCACAGCAGTTTTATGGTTTGTGAACCGTCAAAATATACTAGACGCATAAAATAGATGTGCTGAAAATACTATTATGCAGAATGTGACTTCTTTCCTCAGGTATGATTTGAAGAAAGCAATAAGAATATTCAAATCAAAATCTGTCTGTTGAATTGGGAAAGGTCTTTGCAAAATCCTTAAAATTAGGAAGGAAACATTATGCCTAAAATCCTTGAACTCCTACTCTTACTACTATTATTATCCATGAATTACAAATGCTTGATAATACTCTTCATAGGCCATTTCTACAGGAAATTTAACTAATTCTACCTCTATATTGCTGCTACTACACTGCAAGGCATTGTTACACAAACCTAAAATTATCGTTTCAAGCCTTTTTAAGAGTGTGAGTCAGTCTAAATGTAAAATACTTTCATCTGAATGATCCAAGGTATTGATTACCTGCTTCAAATTTGTTTCAATATTTGGCTCTTGGTGAAAAAAGTTTGGACACCCTGTCATGAAGTGTAATAATGTCCATAACAAGAGCAGAAATACTGTATTAGCCTACCATATTTTTTGGACTATAAGACGCTTCAGATTATCAGGTGCAATATCAATAACGTTGAATTATCGCATCTATTTTCATACATAAGGCACCTCGGAATTATAATGCACATTAACCAAAACAACACTTGAGACTGATCCCTTAGCGCAGGCATACACGATCCATTGGCAGATCATGGTGTAATTCGCCCCGCGTTGCCTCTCTGTCTTGGTGAAAGTGTATTATGAATATGAATGTGGGTGGATAATTAAAATTTGGATTTTTATTTCCTGCGAGGAGGACTCAAATATACACTGAGTAATAATGTGCTTAATGCAGCTTTGTGCACATTTGTTTACGTTTTACAGAAACAAAACTGTGATTTTGACAGATTTTTTAGCGCTGTGCACCACATAAAATCGGTTCGAAATCAGTACGTACAACCAGAATTAATACATAAGGCACACCAGATTATAAGAACCATTGTAGATTTTTGAGAAAATTAAAGGATTTTAAGTGTGCCTTGTAGTCTGAAAAATATGGTACTTGTTCTACCCACTACAAACGAATATTAAATAATTGGATACTATACTATAACTACTACTTGCACAATGTTATCCCTCCTATACCTATTTGCTTTAAACTAACACTACCAGCTACGCACGACAGCTTTAGTACCGAAACAGCACTGTCTCTCTCCCAAATTACAAAAATACTGAGTTTTCTAGCTCCAATCCACTCAGATGCCTGTCTCATTCTAACTTTGTGTGGCTTTTTGACCAAACTTTATTTTTTTCTCCTCACTGACGCGGATAAGCATGTTGGACTCTGCGTTCGCCATCTGCCTCTGTGTGAAACTCAAAGCCCTGGCCCCATCTGCACCATTGGATCACACCATTGTTTGTTTACAGCTAATTACCACCAGGGTCTGAGAATCGCTGTGATACTGAGATAAGGTGCTCGTAATTATATCAGGCTTGTTCAATTACAAGAGAAGGTATAGTAGGTACATAGCTCTTAGGATTAAACGGGCACTGTGTAGCTTTCTAATGGAGGGTACGTCTCCATGGAGATGTTGCTTTGATATGGATATAAAAAGAAGCAGTATCGGGCCAAATTACAAGAGAGATTGGTTTAATACCTGACTATGGAGCCATCAAACAATAGCATTTCTATGGAGACAAGCATGTGGTAGTAGTGTCGTAGTATTTGATTTTTTTTACGGTCTTGATCTCGTCTTGGACACGAGCGCATTTGGTCTCGGTCTTGTCTCGGTCTTGATGGCTTTTGGTCTCGGTCTTGTCTCGGTCTTGATTGCGCTTGGACTCGGTCTTGTCTCGGTCTTGTCTTGGTCTTCTCTCGGTCTTGATGGTGCTTGGTCTCGGTCTTGTCTCGGCCTTGTCTCGGTCTTGATAGCGCTTGGTCTTGTCTCGGTCTTGATGGTGCTTGGACTTGGTCTTGTCTCAGTCTTGTCTCGATCTTGATGGCGCTTGGTCTCGGTCTTGTCTCGATCTTGATGGCGCTTGGTCTCGGTCTTGATGATGCTTGGACTCGGTCTTGTCTCGATCTTGATTGCGCTTGAACTCGGTCTTGTCTTGGTCTTGTCTTGGTCTTGATGGCGCTTGGACTCGGTCTTGTCTCTCAGACTCAAGGTCTGACACTTGACAAGTATTCCATTATAATCATATTTCATTACGGCCTGTAAATGTGCAGAGGCTGCTAAATATCACTGCAAAACCAGTAAGATCATGTAACTGTAAATGTCATGAACTTGAAAAAAAAAAACACTTGATTCACTTTGAAGTTGTTTTCTGTAAAGTGCCAATGGAAGTGGGATTAAAGAAGTGGCTCTCAAACTTTGGGTGAGTGTTTTAGTACACTACAGTTTGCTTGGCCTATTTTAAGCATAAACGAACATTAATCAGATAAAATGGAGATAGATTTATAAGAAACATTGATATATAGCTGCAAAAATAACTGTAAAATGCAAATAAATATAGGAAATTACAACAATCTTAATTTGGTCTCGATGGGTCATGGTCATGGTCTTGTCTCAGTCTCGATCCTCAGAGGTCTTGGTCTTGTCTCGGTCTCAGGACCCTGTGGTCTCGGACAAGTCTTGGTCTCATTTAGTATGGTCTTGACTATAACACTATGTAGTACTACCTTAAACAAAAAAGTTACATAGTGCACCTTTAAAGATTGGGGTCTTTATGGTGGAGGAAATGTCTCTAGGAGATGCCATTGTTTTGTTACACAAGCAAGCAGTCTACGTTATAAGATAGATCAGTCTAATGTCATACTGTGGAACATTTCCATCAAAACAGAAGCATCTCTGTGGAGACAACCAGATCACTATCACAGATCACTAGGATCACTGTGTCTCCATGGAGATGTCATTGCTTTGACAGGAATGGAAACAAACAGCATCAGGCTAAGTTAGAAGATGAATCTGTTTAATGCCATATGAGGAACATTTCTGTCAAAGCAATATCATCTCTATGGAGACAAGCAGAAAAGTTACACAGTACATCTTGGGGTTTTATAGTTAAGTCTCCTCACTGAAATGAAGGAAAGCAGAAAGTAAATTGGCACACACAGTCAACTTGTTTTGTGATGTGTTAAAATGTAAATATCTGTGAATGATGGTGGATTTAGTTATGTTTTTTTTTTTTTTCCCTTTTTGCAGTTATCTGTTTTAATTTAATAGTCATACACAGAATCAATCCTGCACCAGTCCATCAATGTCTTCTTCAAATGGTGTCTGAATTCACCTGTGGTTGTTGCAATGAGTTATACCAGTCTAGTCTATTTTCCATCCGTCAATACCCCCTTGAATATTTTAGTCTTATCAGCAGCTGAGCAATAAAATAAACTCTTTTCTTCAATAACCCCCAAGGCCTGAGAATTTTTTTCAGAATTTTAAGTGATAAAATAAAAAAAGAATACTTGCAACTGATTTTATCTTTTGCCAAAACTGAATACATCACATTTTTTAACTAAATGAATTACTGGATTTCCTTTCTTTCTAAACTTGTAACACTTTTGATTAAAATTCTTGATTAATGTTTGTGTGAGCCAGGCCCTCTGTGTAATCTGTAATGAGTCTGCAGTGAGAAATGTTCCGGGGTTTTTGGTGCAGACAGGAAAAGCTATTTGTATTTAACACGTCTCACCTCACTGCAGTAACAGCCATGTCCAAGCCACGAACTGAACCTCTGCCAAGATGTATTGATGTTTGGCCTGCAGTCTGCTTTCTGTTTACGATGCAGGAGGTAGGACATGTAAGGAGATACTTTGTTGGTGTTCAACTTTGGAAAGCATGTGTCTTCATATTTCCCGATTTTCTATTTTTTGATATATAAAGAAGTGGACTAAGGGAGTGTGACGTCATAGAGCTCACTAACGCATGCAGTTATAAGAGCGAATTTGGAGCCAAGTTCCATATTAGGAATAGGATTTTATTTAGAGAAATTTGGAGAGGAGATGTCTTCCGCATTTAAGAGATACGTGACACAAATTAGCAGCTGTGGTTACATCGTCTCAAGTTTGGACGGGGGATTTTCTGGCTCCAGTCCCTTCTGGATTCGAACCAAATGTAGAAGGGACTCATCAGCCAGTTTCACTTTGTGGAAACTGTCTGACCTCGCACCCTTAGGATTTGTTCGCTTGATGATAGGCAGGTACTTTTTTTATTTAACCAATCGCTGCTATTTGATCGTGACAAATGTAATGCCCCAAATCCAGTAGGAAGAAGGGCAATAACGTCTTTCCCCTTGATTAAATCCTCGATCTTGGGAATCTTTGCCAACACAGAATGTATGGCTTTGTCTGCATCCATCTCAACCGCTTTGTTTACTGTTGAGCTGTACCACAAAAGGACCCAGACAGGCGCTTCAGTTTGACCTCATAGCTTCACAGCTCTTCACTGATTGGCCGATGTGCGATCTACAATTTCCGGGGTTCTTGCAAACAATATAGTGTATTCTGATTCCTGACCTAGTTGCTGGAGAGAAATTACATTGAGTGAAGGCACTAGGTAGCACCAGCCTGGTTAGAAGGGACTGGCTGTTCAGGCAAATTAAACTGTACATCATTATATTTCCACACTGTGTTAACTAACCTTGCATTTCCTCTGTTTTACCTTGCTGTCCGCAGGTCGGGGTTTGGCGTCCCTGAGTCGCAGGCGTGTATCTTGTAAGGCTTTGGGGCGGGGCGACTGTGAGGGCTGGCTCTGGAGGAAGAGAGATGCTAAAGGATACTTCTCTCAGAAATGGAAGAAATACTGGTTTGTGCTCAAGGACAACTGCCTGTACTGGTACATCAACGAGGAGGTGGGTTTAAGATCCTGCTGCATGCTCTGGTTTTCACTGTTGCTATGGTACTTATTAACAAAGTTTTAGAAGTACTTTTAATGGTTGTTTTCAGATTGGACAATGTAATGACGTCATACTTCAAGACTGGGAGGAAAGCGACGGTTTTTCTATTGATTACATAGTATTTTTGTAAATTCACAAATGTTGAACCTGATAATTTCTACAGTGACTAGACCTTAGAACTCGCTTACATTAAAACGTTATTTTAGCTGCATCCCATCTGTATTAAATATTATTGGTCTATATAGAAGGAGGTCCCTCTTATGGCATTACCTTCACATTATAAACCAGATGTTACGTCCAGATAGTTCCTCTGACTTAATTTCTTGCACCACTACTTCAACTTGAAAGTAATGGTGCTCTAATTTGAGTGCAGTTTTTGGCTACCCTTCCTCCCTCTGGTAATTGATACGGGTTTAATGGCTGTGACCCCATCTGATAGAGTAACTTAAAGAGGGGGTATTATGCAAAGTCGACTTTTAAGAGCTTTCTGCCATATTATAACATTGTTGCCTCATCACAAACATGCCTGAATTGGTTTTATATGTCATCGGTGCATTTCTGAGTAACCTTGCGAGTTCAAAAACCTACGTCACCCAGCTCCCGCAGAACAATTCTCCATAAGTATTAGGGATGTTACGATATTCTGACTGTACAATATTTATTGCGATATTTTGAAGATGCTGATATAATTGTAGATAGGACACTTTTTTTGCTTTTAAAATACCTTGACAAGATTTTGGTGTGAATTATTTCCACCATAATCCCAAGAATTCAAGTAAAAAACATATAACTTCATGTTTTCTGCACAGAAATGAATCATGGGATATGTAGTTCCCGATTTATAAGCTGTTGCTAATATAAAACCATGCATTTAAGCAAAGGAACTTGTGATTCAATATATTGTGACAGCCCAAGATGTTATTGTGAGACTTTTGACGATAAAATATCATGATAATTCGATTATTGTTACATCCCTAATAAATAAATAAATAAAAAAGCATGATGAAAAATAATACACTACAACTTCACAAACCTGATGTGATGTGCAGTAGTTTCATAAGAAGGGTACACACTCATTATGCTGGGGGAGTGAGTTAGCATGGAGAGCAAAATGAGGAGTCTCCACTCAGAGCATTAAAGATGAAAACTGAAACTAATTTAAGATTTTAGTATGTTGTTTTCAGCGTTTTCAAACCACTGAAAGGAAACATGATGATCTAAATACATTATTACCCCGTCTTTAGCCAGATTTTACAAACTGAAAACTACTTGTACCCTACTCCACTTTCAATTATTTTCTGCTGTGACATTTGAATGAAAAAAGACAATGCTTAAATTCTGATATTTGGTGTCACACATCTATTGTACAAAAGCTGTTATGGCCGATTTTATTTTTGTCAACAGCTCGTTGTAAAACTTGTGAAAGAACAGAATGTGACTATCCAGATGTTACATAAGACATTTTGTAATAATAATAATAATATGTCTGTCAAACAAATTTATTTTTGAACTGAAAAGAATCCAGCTGAGAGGAAAATGTGTTTTTGGTGGTTTTGGTAGCGGTGCATTGTTATTGAATTTTATGTTTTTAACCAATATTCAATGTACAATACTAATATATTAAAGCTTTTTCCTTATGTTTCCACTCAGGACGAGAAAGCAGAGGGTTTCGTCAGTCTTCCAGAGTTCAAAATCGACCGGGCCAGTGAATGCCGCAAGAAATAGTACGTATTTCCATGTTATATCATAATATTATAAACACAAATAGTGGAGCTGAAGATTAATTGGCATCAAATTGAAAGCACTAGAAAGTCACATTTAGCAAATCACAAAGGCTACAGTTATTATTCTGATTAAAGGAGCACTACGCAGCTTTTCTGATGGAGGATCAGCTACCTACTTGTCTTCATGGAGATGTTATTGCTTTCCCGTGAATGTGCCATAGTATGACATTAAACATATCCATCTAGCATTTATTCATTACAGGTCATTACAGTCAACTCTCTACAGATCTGAACTGTAATGTAGTGTAGTGCTGTAATCTGGTTGTCTCCCTTGTGATTGATTGGTTTAATCTATACTGTGGAACATTCTAGACAAAGCAGTAGCATCTCCATAGAGACAAGCAGATATCAGACCCCCCACCAGAAAAGTGCAGTGCATCTTTAAGTAACACAATATTCTCAATAAACAAAATATATCTCACTGTATTATCTAAAACCATAGATTTAAAAAACAAACATCTTCTTGACCGTCATTCACTCGATGGGAGCCGGGTGCTTTTTTTATTTAACCAATCCCTGCTATTTGATCGTGATGTAATGCGCCAAATCCCATATGAAGAAAGGCAATAATGTCTTTCCCCTTGATAAGATTCACCAAACATTGTCTTTGTTCCGACTTTAAATCCTTGATCTCAGGAACCGTTGCCAACACAGAATGTCTGTCTTCGTCTACATCCATCTCGACCGCTTTGTTTACTGTTGTGCTGTTCCACAAAAAGGGAAACAGTCATGGCTTCGCAGCTCTTCGCTGATTGGATGGTGCACAGTCTACAACTTCCAGGGTTCTTGCAAACCGTCTAGTGTATTCTGATTCCTGACATAGTCGCTGGAGAGAAACCAAATTGAGCGAAGGCACTAGGTGGCCCCAGCTCACATGTTGCAGTTCTAACTAAGGCAGTAATTTATGATCAAATTGTGTTAAAATAAAGCTCAGATTAAAGACTAACAAGGCTCAGACCGAGTAGTGCCTTCAGTTAGCGTCACACCCCCAGGAAATACTGACATCAGCTGCAAAATACCAATAAAACCAGAGCTGTGAATTCAAACTCTCTGAATGCTAAAGTTATAGACAAGTCAGCGTGACATGTACAAAAAAATCACTTCACAAAGAGATTTTCTTTTCGAAGAACAAATGACTCTTTTGAAAATTGTCACAGTGTTTCTTTAGTGACCTGAATAATCTTGACTTCCCTGACCCTAGTCTTGTAGTTTAACATTTTTATTTTTCAGTCTTCTCTCAAATGTGAAAGCTCCAGGGTGAATTTAAAACATGCTCTTTAAACTGAATCTTAATCGCTAATTGTACAAATCGTTCAGAATCTCAATGTTAAGATATTTGTTAATTTTTTTTTTTTAGCCCAAGTGAGCAGATACGAGCATTTATGATGAGGCACAGGCACAAAAACAAATTAAAAGAGAAACTACAGTAAATCACACACATGTTTTGAGTACACTGTAGAAAATTAATAGATCATAATTATAATATATTAATAATAATATTAATAATAATATAAAACACTGTATAATAATAACAAAACAACCAGCAGCTTTCTTTTTTCTTTGTCCTTTTTAGATATGAGCCTTTATGTGTGTATAATGTGCATGTACTGTATGTTCTACCTTTGTAATGACATTTCTCTTTGCCCTCTCTTTTCGCTTTGTGTTTCTAGTGCATTTAAAGCCTGCCACCCCAAGGTCAAAAGCTTCTACTTTGCAGCAGATGGAGTGGACGACATGAACAGGTAAAAACAGCATTGTGTAAGCAGTAACTGTATAATAAAAACTGATACAAAAACTACAAAAATTAGATCCTCATTCAAGCAGGTAACAATACTAAAAAAGTCACATTCACAGAGACAAAAATGAACCTTTCTTTAATAATTTTAGAATGATTTTGAGCTGTATCAGAGCAAGTATAAGAGCACATAGACTAGTATACACCCATAGACCACTGAGGGATTACACAGATATAAGGCCACATGGTAATATAAAAAAAATTCTACAATTTAACACTGATTTAAAGGTGCACTGCGCAAAATATCCAGTTGAGGGTTCGCCACCTCCTTGTTTACATGGAAATACTTTTGCTTTGTTTAGAATATTCCACAGTATACAGTAAAGCAATCTATCACAAAAGAGACAAGCAGGTTACAGCACTACGCTATGTTACAATTCAAATCTGCGTAGAGTCGCCCCTGTTCACAGAAGGAATTAATGTTTAATAATGTGTTCATGTCTAAGCAACAACAGACTTCACCTGAAAAGTTAAGCAGTACACCTTGAATGAAAATCACATTATATTGTCTAAAGAAAGACTTTTTTTTTTGTTTTTTTAATCTTTGTGTTATCAGAATTAGTATTGAGAATTGATCTATTATTTTGAAGTTTTATAAATCTTTTGACAACACTTCCCAGAAGGATAAACTACTCATTTAGACCATAACTACGCTTTTTAAACTTTTATTTATTTATTTATTTGCAGGGAATGATCTATGCATACAAGAGTTCCTCAGCAGATGTACATATATTTTTACTGTGTGTGCTCTTTTTCTCATTTGCATAAAGTAAATTAAACTTTTGCTTAAAACATTTGGCAAATATTTGTACTAGAGCATATGGATGTATTGGACGAGCTGCTGGCAGGGATTTTTTGGCAATTATAATTATGGAGAAAATTCAACAAATGAGGAAGTCAATTTAAAATATAGTCATAAATTACTCTTGAGGAGAGAATATGATGATAAAACATTGCCAATAGACAAAAGCCTCCTCAAAATCCTTTTATAGGCTGGTATTGAAGAATAAGTACATTAGAAGACCGTGTTAAGTACTTCTATACTTAAAGGGCCCATATTACGCTATTTTTTGATATATGTTGTAATGTTATTTCCTCATCAAAAACATACTTGGAGTGTGTTTTGTTTCATTCACACATCTTTAATATACAAACCCTGCTTATTTAGGCTGAATTTCTCTCACAAAAAGAACAGAATATTTGATTTTGAGCTTTGCAGATGTAGAGAGCATAATAAATAGTTCCTTAAGCATGTGTGAATGAAAAAAAACACAACTCCAGGTATGTTTTTGACTTAAAGTTCACAAGAATCAATTTTGTGTAATATAGGACCTTTAATTGAGAGTTAAAATATTGTACAAACCTTTTTTTTATATATTTCAGATGGTTGAGTCGATTAAATCAGGCAGCTGTGGGCTACGCAGAGAGAGAGAGGATGCGCCAGGAGCAAGGTAAGTCTTAACATCAATTATTTAAAACTAGTTTGAAGCACAAAAAGTAAAATTTTTTTTCTTGCTTCACAAATCTCATTCACAACTCCAACTTGAATTTTAAACAGCCTACTTCAAGGTTCTGTGCAGATGATACTGTAGATGTTTCATACTCACACAATTTGCAATTTGGTACCATAGTAGCTTGAACTGACTGCACAGATTACATTGTTATCAGACCAATACTGGATCAATAAAACAATTTGTAGCTTGATTGGGCAAGAACCAGTTTTCCTCATAAATTAAACTTAATTTACTGAGGAAAAAACCAAAGAAAATCCATGTCCGACTCCATCATTTGTATATTGACTAAGGGTTTGCATGGTTATAACATCGCAATTCAGGATGTAGACAGTTTATGACTTTCAGAGTGATGATGCCATAACAATTAACAATTCAAAAGGAAATATTTTGGCCTGTAAATGGTGAAAAGTCTTCAAAACGGCAGCAATAAACAGGAAGCTGAAACCCATAAATAGTAATTACCTAATTACCTGCTTAATTTCCATTGTGCCATTAGTCCATTCTTCACATTTCTAACACTTCTCACACGTCCTAATGATTCACTGGGATGAGTTTATAATAGCTGTTCACATCGTTTAGAGACCAACACAACTACCATGTTAACAGCACACTTCCTGGAAAAAAATTGGGCACTTTAAATATGCAGAACGAGGTGATGTCATCTCCAACCGATCTTTCTACCTCTGGTATTACTTGCATTTGTATTTTGTGGACTATAAGGAGCACTTAAAATCCTTTAATTTTCTGAAAAATGTACAGTGCGCCTTATGTATTAATTCTGGTTGTGCTTACTGACCTCGAACCAATTTTATATGGTACACAGCGCTCAAAAATCTGTTAGAATTGCAGTTTTTTTCAGCGCTTAGAGTTTATGCAAATTAGCCATGTGGTTTTAAGTTTCATTTCTGTAAAACATAAACAAATGTGCGCAAAGCTGCATTAAACACATTATTACTCAATGTATATTTGAGTCCTCATCCTTGGAAATAAACAAAAAAATAATAATCAAAAAATGTGATTACATGTGGGGAAAAAGAATAATAAAAAAAAAGATACCCACAAAGAACAATAGCCTTTGCCAGTTACTACGTCACTGGCTATCCACCCACATTCACATTCATGATACACATTCTCCAAGACCAGGCGAATTATGCTACTAAGCGTCGTCCGTTTGTCCGTGTGCCTTATGTATGAAAATAGATGAATTCAACATTATTGATATTGCCCCTTATAGTCTGAAAAAATACAGTAGTTAGTTTTAATCTTTTTGATGTGATTTTGCTGCAGATTACTGGAGTGAGAGCGACCATGAAGACGAGACCACCTCCAGCCCGAAACAGGACAGCCCGCCACCTCCGTATGACACCTACCCCCGCCCCCCCTCTGTGAGTAATACAGACATTTATACATATATAGATACTCATAGTACAGTACATATGTGAGCGTCTGTGCGTATGTGGCGTGATTAAGATGCTCCTGCACCGCTCATGTTATTGCCAATCAAGCCATGAGGGACCCATGGGGAGGAGAATGTGATAATTGACGCTATAATTATGGCTCTGACTAGTTTGCTCTAGTTCGCTCTACATTCAGCTTGTGTTTTTTTTTCATACAATAATAAGTCCAGACAAATAGACCACTTTTCAATCCGTCGCCTAAAGTTGCAGAGATAATTACAGTCTAATTTTGTTTTTAGGTGAGTTGCATGATTAGGGTCAATGGAAATAAATTGTCGGACTGATTTTGTATTTATGGCTTACACAACTAGGGCTGGATGAGATTCTGAGAGACGTGTGTACTGCATTGAAACTAGTCTAGCTTTTGGAAATCTTTATTGGAATTATATTTCTTTAGAAGGCCTACTTCTAAATACCCTAATATTGTATTATAATATTGTAAAATAATGTCTTAAACTCCTCCACACTGCAGCATCTTCAGAACACAGTGACATTCGATGATTTTAATCTCACTGTTTCTAAAGGCAGTGTTTTTTTCACCATATTATTCATGTTTGTAAAAAGAAGAGAAGCCCGAAACATATGGCTGCTTAACATCTGTAAACAAGTTGGTGCATTCAGCTTGTTTTTCACTCTTGAGGCTCAGTGAAGACATCACAGAGACAAAAGCTGTCTCTGTCATTATTATTATTTAGAGCCTCCTTGGTCTGTGTTTAAGCTGTTCTGGGCATTCGCTGGAGCATTAGCTGAGGCAGATGCATGCAGAGGGCTCTATTTGCTGTATCGACCCAATCTATTCATTAAATCTGATCCAAGCCAATACTCTAAACGTGGTATTGGATTGGGGCTTCCCTAATCATGACCATTTTCTATGGTAAAAGGTCACATTTTTAGATAGCGCTTTTCCACTTTCAAGGTTAATCAAAGCGCCTTAAAACAAAGAACCATTTACCCATTCACACACAGATTCACACACCTATGTACGCAGACACTGGGGGCGAGGTGGGTTAAGTGTCTTGTCCAAGGACACAATGACAGCATTCATCTGTGGGTTCATCTGTGGGAGCTGAATTGCACTGCCAACCTGTGGGTTAGTGGATCTGACTGCTCAGTCAGTGATGTTTATATCAAGAGCGTGGCTTTTGGATCAGTGGACAAACGCTTTACCAACTGAGCTGCTGTTGCTCCCTCTATTGGTCAGTACATTTCCAAATCAGCTTTTCTACCATTTTACTTAAACCCATTGTTACAATTATAGTGATAGTTTGAGCTGAAGTGTCTAGCATTTTGGCCTCACAGCAGGAAGGTTCCAGGTTTAATTTCCTTTCTTTGCGGAGTTTGCAAACCTAAAAAAAGCGCCACAGGTAAAACCTATCAACTAAGTTAGTCCTGACCCACGACTAGCTCAAGATCTAGAGATGGGTCCCCTGTTCCTGACAGGTTGAACCAGAAGCATTGAAGGATGGGTCAAATGCAGAGGACAAATCTCTTTATGTGGGCTATAAAACCTTAACCCTATTCTCCTTTCTTTGTTCCTTTCAGATGAGTGCGTACATGGAGGGCCGTACACGTCTGTCTTCCACTGAAACGTCGCGCTCTCGTTCGTCTCAAGAGGACTTTCTCTGTGGAGAGCCCCCGTCCGCTGAGCCGCAGTACCACCCTGGGCCTCTAGGGGGAGGCACCACACACAGCGGCAGGAAACCAGGAGGCAGCAACAGCAGCGACGTACAGTACCGATGTGACACGGTAGAGGTCAGTGAGGAGCTGTTATTTGTAAGTCGTTAAAGGTACATTATGTAACTTTTATTGCTCTGCCTTGAATGTTCCACAGTGCAGCATTATTTAATTGCTCATAAATACCTTGAAAAATATTTTTAAGAAATCATTCATCTTCACTGCAATAACTGTCCTAAATACCATCAAGTTGTTTGATTTTTCAACATCAGATTTTATTTAGTTAGTTTTTGTCATCCCTCCACAAATCTGATCTTTATGGAGATAGATTAACCCTTCCAGACCTAATATAAGGGCAATTTTGTCCTCACCTGGACTTTTTCTTTAATTTTGCTATTAAAACTCCCCCTTTTACCCCCTAATGAAGTATTATACATCCTTTTTTTTCAGTACAACCTGTTATTTCACAGGCTGTTGCTGTATTTGTGCCATATGGCTGTAATAAAAGCTATAGGACCAGAAATACAAATAAAAAAAAAATAAATAAATAAAATAAAATTCTTCATATTCTTTCATACAAAACACACAGCAAACATGTATAAGCAACTTTTTGGACATAATTTTTTTATTTTTTTATTTTTTTATTTAACACCTCAGTTACAAAAGAGCAAAATATCAAGTCTGTAAGTAAACTAAAAATGTCCTTTTTGCCTCAAAACAAAACCAAAAAAAAAAGTGCAATGGCCCTATGACTTTACTAGTGCCACTCATGGAAACAGATCATCTCAGGTGATTATTACATTTGAAATAAACCTTTCAAGTAAAAATAGCAAGCGATGCGCAATTATGCAGACCAAGATGCATAATTAGCCATTTATTTGAGAAATAACTGCACTTAGAGCTGCTTTTTCAATTGTTACGAACACAGACGCTCAGAGCAGTCGACCATCTTGACTCACTACACTCTTTGGCAAAGTTTGGACCAATCAAAATGGAGGGAGCGAATGAGTTTGGCAGAAAACAAAGTTCCTATTGGACACTCGTTTCCCTACATCATCACACAGCGTGCGTGTGACGTAGGATAATACCGGAAATATGTTCGGAAAGCCTCAACTCTCAGGAAAAACTGTAAATTTTTATCTTTTATGGATGGAAAGTTATGCGCGGTTATATAAAACATATTCCCAGGTTTCATATACGATACTGTCAGGCTGGAAGGATTAATACCATATTGCGGAACATTCCAGGTAAGATAATAGTATCTACATGGAGACAAGCAAATGGCAGGAAAGTTATGTAGTCCTTGCATTGTATATTGTTTTTATAGGCAAGACACCTCTATAAAACACATCTTTAAACATTCTTTAATATGAAAAGATTTTGAGCAAGTAATTGATAGACAGTATTGTTGGATTTCTAAAAAACATCTCAGATCCTTTTCTCTGAGTGGTCATTTTACTGTGTCCTGATTCCTGAACCATGCGTTTTTCTGTTGCAATAGTCGGACCTAAATAACAGTTGTTCTGAAAACCACTGAAGAGTAATTGGCCTCTTTTCTGCAGCGTTTCCTCAAACACACTGATTTCAGACAGGTGAAAATGTGTTTTTAGACCCAAAATTGCTCTCAAGTGTCATGTTTCATAAAACACAAACACACACTCCTGTACAGTGATTTATAGAGAAAGGTACCAGTGTTTTGTTATGTTACCAACCCAGTCCAGTCAGTTAAATATCTCTAGTGACTCGCCACTTAGTATAAACTGTAGAAGAGTAAATTATACATTAAAGGTCCGATATTACGCAAAATTGACTCTTTAATTGAGCTTTAAGCCATGTTTTAATGTTGTTCCCTCATCAAAAACAAACCTGGAGTTGTGTTTTGTTTCATTCACACGTTTGAGTAATCTTTTGTTTGTCTACATCTCCAAAGCTCTAAGTGCTCTGTTCAACCTTGTAATGTGGTCATTTTCAAGTTAACAGCGACATTTTACCTTTAGTTCAGTGGAGATGGGCAATTCCAAGCCTGAAAATATCCAACTGATGCTAGTGAAAGTGTAAGGAGCACTTCTTGTATTACCACATCACATCACATCATGGAAAACACAACTCCAGGTCTGTTTTTGATGAGAAACAACATTATTATAACAGAAAATAGCGAAATATTGGCCCTGATAGTGCTTTATGCTGTAGTTTTGTGACTTGATTGCTATAATCCTTATCCAACATTATAAATATGTAGTTAAAGATGCTTTTCTTGAGGAGGGTACACCACTTGCTTGTATCAATGTTGAGGATGTTGCTTTGCTTGTAATTTTCCACAGTATGGCTTTTATCTATCTTGCATTTAATCAAATACACATGTTTAAATTGCTAAAAAAAATAATAATAACTTGGAAAACATGCATTCTTGGAGTGTATGTGCTAATGATTTCACTTGCTTTTCTCCTTGGAGTAGGCAAGTTGGATGCCAGACAGTGGAATATTCCAGGCAGATCCTCCTCCGAAAAAGTTATATACTGCATCTTTAATGTCGTGCCAACAGATTATGGCCACAGAAAAATACAAATCCTTTAGAATAGCAATGATTATTCTTGGCAAGGCTTAAAATAAAAGTTTTTTTTTTGTCTTCTCTTGTTTGCAGTACCGCTCGAGTCCCGCAGGAGGCAGTAGTGACACAGGCTCCCCGGGCCGTTCTTCTTCTTCTCAGAGGCGCTCGTGGCAGGACCTGATTGAGACGCCTCTGACTGAAGCTGGACTGCACTATCTGCAAACAGGACCTCTGGGTAAAACGATAATGCAACAGGAAATAGACTAAATCAATGTATTTTGTGATTATATTTTATATACAAAACAATATTACCAGTACATTAAAGATGCACTATGTAACTTTTATGATGAGAAGGTTGACTCCATGGAGGTATTATTTCATTGCTTGAAGTGTTCCATGTTTTAGCATTTAACATATCTGTCTTAAATTTATTCAGTTATAGATGTGAATATTGAAAAAAAAAAAAAAAAAACCCACACAAAGAATGATTTCTTACTGTGAGCAGGATCACACCCTCCACTGATCTGACTTGTCACTTGGCCTGATGGCATTACAAACTTGTCTCCGTAGATATATAGATACATTTAATGCTATACTTTGGGCCATTCTAGGCAACGTTATTATATCTCCATGGAGATGAGCAGGTCTGGACTCTTAAGCCCTAATTTGCAAACCTCTGTGTCACTTGCAGCACATTCACACGAGATAAGTAAATGACTCTATTTTACTGACATTGACACATAGAATGCGGAAAGAAAAGAAAGAGATAGAAAAGGTGCACATTTATAATAACAAACACTGAGACGCAGACTCACACGGGACTAGTATTATCACCGAAAGTCTGTGTTTGGTGAAATATTGTAGGTAATTTGCGACAGAATTTTTACTTTACAAATTACAGACATGGCGCATTTGCACGGGAATAAGATCTCAGACATCCTCTGTGAGTAATACTAATCCTGTGTGAGTAGGGCTGTAAACAAAAGTTACATACTAAAGTAAACACTTGTTTATAGATGAGAACTTTTTCAGGGTTGCAGCGAGGTCTTAAAAGTCTTAAAAAGGTCTTATATTTCATGTTCCTAAATTAAGTCTTAAATTATGTTGTCCAAGTCTTATTTTTTTCACAAAAGTCTTAAATTTCATTAGCCTATTTTTTTGTTACTCAACCGGGCTGCAGTGCAATGTTAAATGGAGGGAGGAAAAAAGCAACAACATGAAATAACGTGAATGAACGTCTAATTTACTAACATACTAATTAGTATGTTCAAACAGTACTCTGGTTTTTGGCAACGGCGGCAATGAGTAAACAATCAGTTCCGTGAACACTGTCAGATCTGCTCATGTTTATGTCACAAACATCACCACCTAGCCTCCTGACATGCATATCCAATCCAATTCCACACACTTTTGCATCACCGTATACACGCAGATTTCCTCCTAAAAACACTCGTCTAAACGCAGAATAAAAATTGAAGACGCTACGCCATCATATAAACGTAGCCTTAGATTCTAGATATAGTACTGGTAGTTGGTTTGTTATTATTAGAATTAGACCTGATGTTTTTTGCCCGCATAATGGGTGCAACGTTGGTCTTAATTTTCATTTAACTGGTCTTAAAAAGGCCTGAAAAAAGTCTTAAATTTGGGGTAGTCAAACCCGGGGATACTCTGTTTTTAGAATTTTGTAGTATTAGTGCGTAATGATAAGCAAAATAACATTAAGCCTTGTTTCTGTTATGCTATTTCTTGTCCAAACCATTATCTTTATAACAAGAAGGGCTTTTAAGTGATAAAAAGTACAACATTTCCTTGATAATATTTTAGTTTGATCAATTTAAGACTCTTACAGCTATAATAGGCTAATTAGCAATGTGTCGTGACAGCTATTTTTAACGGTAGTGTTTTTTCGTTGCTAAATGCTGCTTTAATTCCCAGTCCGTGTTGCAATTAACTTTTTGTGTCTTGTATGATTTATTATCCCATTTTATTAGATAGGCTCTTGTTGATCTTACAATAACACACTTGAGACTTCAGACATTAATTCCACAGCAGACCAAAGACGCACAGTTGTGTTTTCTAAATTGTCCTGTCATGTTTCTTGTTCAGAGGATGCGGTGTTTGCGGAGCCTGGTCACGGGGGAGGGTCCATGATGATGCTGTCCGGAGGGGTCTACACGCTGCCCGCTCAGAGGAATGTCCCGTTGCCTGTGGCGATGCACCGGCTCGTCCCCATGGCGACGCAGGGAGGGAAACCACGCAGCTTCACTTTACCCCGGGACAGTAACCTGCACTCGCTGCTGGCCCCGCCCCCGAGAGACGACCCACACGCCCACAATGGTGAGAGAGGTACTGTGGAGAAGTTTTGAATTTCACTGTTTTTCAGACTCAAATCAAAACCTTGTCCTGTTGGGCAAGTTACTTTAAAACTGTAATGTGTTATTTACGACTTGTTACTGTCATTTCAAAGTAATTTGATACATTACAATATTACTGCATTTAAAATATAAGGCATTACACGACTATTGCAGCACTTTTAAGTTACTCTCACCAAATAACTGTGAAGATTTTAAATGTGAAGAACTTTTGCGCTGTATATGGACTGAACCAGGACTAAACCAGGACTAAACCAAAACTGAACCAGGACTGAACCAGGAGTAAACCAGGACTGAACCAGGACTAAACCAAAACTGAACCAGGACTGAACCAGGAACCAGGACTGAACCAGGAAACCAGGACTAACAGGACTAACCAAAACTGAACCAGGACTGAACCAGGACTGAACCAGGAGTAAACCAGGACTGAACCAGGACTAAACCAAAACTGAACCAGGACTGAACCAGGACTAAACCAGGACCAAACCAGGATTAATCTTGGACTAGAACTTGGAATCTAGGACCGCCTGTGAGAGAACCGTGGAACAGAGTGCCTGCAAGGTGCGATTGGGCGTCAGCTGCGATTAGCCCAGTGGAGCATGTTCCTTTTGCTCACGGTCACCCGACGGTCTACGTGGGGGCATCTCTGGCGATTCACTGCTGCTGATTTCGTCGTAATTTTAGCGAATAAAAAACACCACTTTAGTCTAGGTTAAAAAAGCATTGTAATATGCTTTACTGACATTTGTACCAAGTAAAATATTACAATTTTTTCCCCCTCCAATGCCTTACATTACTGTTACAGCAAAAAGCAATGCATTACAGTAATTTGTTACCTTTATAATGCATTACTCCCAACACTGGTCCTGATTAATTCTAATGTATCTACTCTTATAAGTACTCATGTATACAAGTTAAAAAAAATTCTGAAATATTATGTAACTTTCTCGAAGTGGCAAGTCACCTCTATGATTCCACGGAAATAGAAAGTTCCTTGGAGATAGATCGTTATTTTTATTTATCAAATATTTTACCAGAAAAAATCCCACTGAGATTAAGAACAACAGGTCAGAGAGAAAGAAAAACAGAACCAGAAAAACAAAAATAAAACTGAAAAAAAGAGCACAGGCTTGGTAACTTTCCCGTACATCAGGGGCATAACAGAAAAAGTGCAGAGGGAAATGAGAAAACACAATCAATCAACAGAGAAAACTCAGGCAATTTCTCACCCACCCAAAACACAAAACAGAACCGGAGCATAAATGTAATGTCATATACGAAATACCCTGCATGTTCTGCAATAAAACATACATCAGGGAAACAGGGAGCACATGAAAAAAGGGACACAGAACAGAATGTGAGAAGGAAACGGCGAAGGCGAAAGACGAGCAACAAAACATAAAGCAGAACAGGAACAAATCAAATTTCTGACCAATTTAAAATAGAGAACCACATTATAGACCAGGACGGAGCAAATATCACTGGGACAGAGGAAAACAAACAACATCGCTGGATTAAAGAGGCAATCGAAATACAGAAACGTGCCCACGGGACGATAAACCGAGATGAGGGGGCTTTTTTACCCTCGCACACTTTGGATACTATCCTGAGGAAGTCGGACTGCAGATGGTGCTGTCCTGCCTCCACCGGTAGGAAGACAGCGGCAAAACCTGTTTGATTACACAGCAAAATTACGTGACCACTCTAAGGAAGACCAAACCAAACTCTTGGTCTGAAAATAGAACCTAATAGCATAATAAAGATTAAGACCCTCTTTTTCAACGGAGTCCTGGCCAAGAGGCAGCAATTACAAGTTTACAACACAAATAAAGAATAATCAAATTTGTTGTGCCATAATGTGAAATATTGTGGGCAAAGGAACAACATTTCCATGGAAACAAGGAGGTGGAGGCTCCTTCTCCAGGCCAAGTAAGAGTGAGGTTTGTGGAGCTGTAACCTTAAAAATATAATATTGGACCTGGTTCAGCCCTGATTCAGTCCTGGTTCAGCTGTGGTTCAGTTCTGGTTTAGTCCTGGTTCAGTCCTGGTTTAGTCCTGGTTCAGTCCTCATTAAGTTCTGGTTCAGGCCTGGTTTAGTTCTGGTTCAGTCCTGGTTTAGTCCTCTTTCAGTCTTGGTTTAGTTCTGGTTCAGTCCTGGTTCAGTCCTGGTTCAGTCCTGGTTCAGTCCTGGTTCAGCTCTGGTTCAGTTCTGGTTCAGTCCTGGTTTAGTTCTGGTTTAGTCCTGGTTTAGTCCTGGTTCAGTCCTGGTTTAGTCCTTGTTCAGTCCTGGTTCAGTCCTGGTTCAGTTCTGGTTTAGTCCTGGTTTAGTTCTGGTTTAGTCCTGGTTTAGTCCTCATTCAGTCCTGGTTCAGTCCTGGTTTAGTTCTGGTTTAGTCCTCATTCAGTCCTGATTCAGTCCTGGTTTAGTTCTGTTTTAGTCCTGGTTCAGTCCTGGTTTAGTCCTCGTTCAGTCCATATACGACACTGGCCAAGAGGCAGCAATTACACATTTACAACACAAACAAACAATAATAAAATGTACTGTGCCATAATGTGGAATATTGTAAGCAAAGGAACAACATTTCCATGGAAACAAGCAGGTGGAGGCTGCTTCTCCAGGCCATGTACGAGTCAGGTTTGTGGAGCTGCAAGCCTCCTTAAAAATATACATATTGGGACTTGAAATTTTAAAATTAAAGCGTAATTACTGGAATTACCACTACTCATATTATTGTAGAGTCTTTCTTTTTCTTGGTTAAATACTGAATAAATAAAACTGATACCATGAGGTGAAAGCAGTTTGTCAAATCTATTCTGCAAATAGAAGTCACCAGTCGCCATCGTCACTACTCATTTTACCAGTTCAACCAAACACGTAGTTAATTGAGCGTTTAGACACTTTAGACAATGTTTCATACTTACATAATGATGAAACTGATGAGAAAACTGCGTAATACAAAATACTCACTTAACATCCCTCTGCTCTGGCTTTAATAGCTCATTTAGCATTGGCGTAAGCAGCTGCCCTAGAAAAGCTTTTACCATTTTTATTGCAGCAGCAGCAGCAGCAGTCGAGTGGGCAGAAAATTATGCTACATATGAGTGACACAGGCCACGAGGGAAATACAAGGGTTCCTGAGGTGAAGATGTTGACGTCAAGAAGCAGGAAAAAAAAAAAAACCTTTTGGCTCACGTTCATTTCAGTTCACATCATCGTTAGCGGGCGACTAGGTGACTGCCGCAGCATTCTTGTGTGTGTGTGCTAAAGAGCTAATCAGTGCAAGGTGCAGCTACGAAAAACTCCAAACAGGAAGTGTATTTTTATGTAGAAACAAAAACAAGCGATGCTAATGAAGGAGCATTAGCGGCGATTGGAAGTAGGAGGAGAAAACTTATGATTAGATTTGATACAATAACAGACTCAATATACATGCATAATGAAGTCAATGCATTTACAAAATCCTCCAGGCGAAAATACAAAAGGGCAATGCATCACTTTAAAGGTGCATTGCGTGACTTTTCTGGTGGAGAGTCCCCATGAAGATGTTATTGCTTTGCTGCAATGTTCCATAGTATGACAATAAATATACCCATCTAGCATTTATTCATTATGGGTGTTTCTATTGCTAAGAAATACAATAATTCCTTCTGTGAATAGGGGCGATTCTCCACAGATCTGACTTGTAACGTGATAGGTTTAATCTATACTGTGAAACGTTCGAGAAATGTTACGCAGTGCACCTTTAAAGGGCCCATATTACAATATTTTGTGATCTACTGTATGTTATAATGTTGTTTCCTCATCACAAACAGACCTGGAGTTGTGTTTTGTTTCATTCATAGACTGTGTCTAGTGTCTGTGTCTCAGACAAAAAAATACTCTGTTGCACCTTGTGATGTCATGTGGTAATACAGGAAGTGCGCCACTGTGATCCTAAACTTCTTACATCTTCACTAGAATCATTTGAGTAATTTTAGCCCTGGAATTGGCCATTGCTACTGGACTAAATGTAGAAGGTTCAGTCCTCGGTTCAGTCCTCAGTTCAGTCCTCAGTGTAGACCTGGTTTGGTTCTGGTTTTGATCCTGATTTGGTCCTGGTTCAGTCCTGGTTCAGTCCTCCTGGTTCAGTCCTCGGTTCAGTCCTGGTTTAGTCCTTGTTCAGTCCTGGTTCAGTCCTGGTTTAGTCTTGGTTCAGTCCTGGTTTAGTCCTGGTTTAGTCCTGGTTTAGTTCTGGTTTAGTCCATATACGGCACAAACGTTCTGCATTTTCGCGCAGTTATTTTGATGAGAGTAACTTAAATTGCTGCAATAGTCGTTTAATGCCTTACATTTTAAATGCAGTAATATTGTAAAGTAACAAATTACTACTACAAGTAATAAATAACACATAACAGTTTTGAAGTAACTTGCCCAACAGTGCTAATAATGTAGGATTACTCAAACATGTGAACGAATCAAAACACAACTCCAGGTTTTGATGCGGTAACAACATCACAACATGGTTTAACTCTCACAAGAATCAATTTGTCTTAATATAGGACTGTTATCAATATGTGTCATCCTCCAGGGGGCAGCGAGGGCGCGTCCTTGGGTGACCTGTTCCGGGCGTGTGAGCAGGGCGGGGTCTGTCCTCTGGGTCGGGGGTCAGAGGTCAGAGGTCAGTCGGAGTTCAGACAGTCGTTCCTGAGACGAGCGGACGACCCTCAGCTGAACGAACGCCTGCACCGCCTACGAATACTCACCTCCACGCTCAAGGTAAGTCCAGTGTGAATCTGTAGATATTTAAAGCTGCAATATGTAAGTTTTATTTGTCTCCAGAGATGTTATTGCTCTGAATGTTCCACAGTATGGCATTACATTTATATCTTGCATTTATTACATTTTAAGTTTTTTATAGCTCAAAAATACCTTGACTTGCATTCTTACTGGGGTGTTTTCTCGAAAAATCTTACTGATATCTTGGACTGGTGGCATCTCCATGGAAACGGATAAGTTTAATGCCATAATGTGGATCATTCTAGGCCAGGGGTGTCAAACTCAAATTCACAGAGGGCCAAAATTTAAAACTGGGACTATGTCATGGGCCAAACTGAATATTTACTGAAAAATTTGAACAACATCTGCATGTTTTGTCTTCTTTCGAGATCTGTAATGTTAAACCTTTTCTTATTAAAATAAATGTTTAATAATAGTTTTGCTTAAACACTGAATCCAAAACAAGCAAAATATAATATAATAACAAATTTTTAACTAAATAATGTCTCTAAAGCCTATCTGAGCGGGTCAGCTCTAATACATATTTGATATTGTCTCTCGGGCCAAATATAATTAGATCATGGACCAAATTTGGCCCCCGGGCCTGAGTTTGACATGTCTGTTTTAGATAAAAAAAATAACACCTTCATGGAGTTAAGCTGATAGTGGACCCTCCATATGAAAGGTTACATAGTGCGGCTTTAACCATAGGGAAAATGTGTTACGTATTTACTTTTCAGCAATATACATAAAAGCTTTTTCCAATTTAATATGAATGTTTTGTTTTTTTCTGTCTGTGTGACACAACTGCGGGCTTTTGTATTTTCTGTGTTTTCTTTACTTTTTATCTATACCAAAAATAGCATTGATGACGCATGCTCAAGTCGTTCTTGTAATGTGAGAAATTACAACACAAAAAACAGGGCTTTAATCTTTAGCTGTACAATAAACAAATAAGTAAATAAAACATGGCAGTTCATTTCTTGGAGGAGTTTTTCCCATTTAAAAGATGCAGTATTTTGTCTCAATTACTAAGAATTCAGCAGGCATTAGTTTTCATCATAACTTTAAGAGGTTTTTAAAGACAAAGTTTATTGATTCACAAGGGAAACTACTTGGACACAATAACAAAGAGCAAAAAATATGAAGTAATAAATGATAAATTCTAGTTAAGTAGCAAAAAAGATAGCAAGAGATGTGTGTCCAATCAGGCATAAATATATAAATGTTTATGTACACGTCAAAATAAAATAGAAATGAAGCTAAAATAAAAGCTTGATTATGAATGAAGTATTAAATTTAACTCTACTGCTTTAACACCTTTGTTTTTGCACCATTAATTTCACCTTAATTAATCAAATAAATGCTGTTGTGTTGCTGTTAAATTGTCTACAGACTCTCCTCACTCACTCATGTACGCTGCATCCTAACCACTAACGCACCTTCCTTGTTTCCTCGTTAATTTTAGCCGCTCATTTGTCTCTGTCTCGTCGCTTCCTTCATGCAGTTTGACTCTGGTTGTTTTTTGGGCCCGGTGCCAGTGCCAGTGCCGTTCTATTGTCCCCGTGTATCTGTGTTGCTTCGTGCTCGTCGGTTTGACAGTTTGTTCTAACGGGGGACGGGGGTCTTTGCTTGTAGACGTTTCTGTTAAAACTTTTTCGTGGCAGTTAACTTGTACGTGTGGTCCGTGTCTCTTAAAGGAATACACTCAGTTTGAGGTTGAATCCAGACACCAACTTCGACATTATAAGCAGAGAAAATGTGCAAAAATACAAATAACGCAACACCATGTAACATTTTGATCATTGTACAGGTTTTCCTCAAAGATGAACTATGTAACTTTTTGGTTTGGGGTCTGTTACCTGCTTGTTTCTATGGATACATCATTTCTTTGTCTGGAATGTTCCACAGTATGACTTTAAACAGCTTTACATTACATTTATTCAGTTACAGGTGGTTTTCTTGCTACTTAGAAAAACAGACATTAGACTGTGAGTGGGGTTGCCTCTCCACAGATCTGACCCGTAATTTGGTCTAGTTTGGTTTCCATGAAGACAGAAAGGTTTAATTCCACACTGTGAAACATTCCAGAGCAATAAAAGCATTTGACGGACCCTCCACCTGAAAAGTTACACAATGCACCTTTAACAACTGACTGCTTTTGAAATAACCGTTAGTCAGACACTGCCAGGTGATAGGCAGTTTAACCTTTTGTAAACTGTGAAAATGTTACGTAATATATTAATAATGTCTAAAATGTCAGACACAAATCTCAGCAAATAAACCCGCTGAACTCACTCCCTCTTTGTCTCTTCCCAGTTTGCTGCAGAGCTGCAGCATTGGGTGAAGGGAAATCTGGATATGAATATATTATCCAGAAATAGAGGAGAGTGTGACAGGGAAATTCATTGCACCAGTGAGCTCCAGGTATAATGGTTTTATTTGTTTAAAGGAGCAATGCGTAACATTTCTAGTAGAGGGTCCACCATCTGCTTGTCTCCACGGAAATGTTATTGCTTTGGTCTAGAATGTTCCACAGTAGAGATTAAACCTATCGAACACTGGTTAAAGCACTACGCTACATTACAGTTAAGATCTGTGGAGAGGCGCCCATATTCACAGAAGGAATTGTAGTATTTTTGAGCAATAGAAACATCCGTAATAAATAAATCCTAGATGTCATACCGTGGAACATTCCAGGGAAAGCAATAACATCTCCATGGAGACAAGCGGACCCTCCACCAGAAAAGTTGCTCAATTCACCTTTAAAATTATTTTCCGAAAGCGACCATTTTCACTTGACTCAATAGAAGTAACAGACTACAAGCAGAATATGGAAGTAAGTAGATACTTTTTAGTGACTTTGAATACTATAGAAGTATTTTTGCTCAAACAGTAACTTTTATACTAATTAACATATGTAATTTTGAACCTGCACCGCAAAAACTAAAATCTTGCCAAGTTACAATTACTTGAATTAAGAAAATGTTATCTTGATTTGAATAAATTTCACATTACAATTCAAATTATCTACCAATGGAACAAGACATTTTGGCCTTAAAATGGGAAAGTACAAGCCAGGCTGGTGCCACCTAGTGCCTCCGCTCAATTTCATTTCTCTCCAGCGACTAGGTCAGGAATCAGAATACACTAGACGGTTTGCAAAAACCTCAGAAGTGTGAGTTTGGGCACCAGCCAATCAGCGAAGAGCCATACATACTGTGTTGGCAATGATTCCCGAGATCGAGGATTTAAAGTCGGAACAAAGAGAATGTTTGGTGAATTTTATCAAGGGGAAAGATGTTATTGCCCTTCTTCCTACGGGATTTAGGTAAAACTTTGTGTACCAGTTACCCCCGTTAACAGCGCATTAAATACGTCATGACCAAATAGCAGCAATTGGTTAAATGAAAAAAAGTACCTGCCTATAGTTAAGCGAACGAATCCTAATGCTGCGAGGTCAGACGGTTTCTAGGAAAGTACATCTTGTTACATAAAATATGAGAAAAAAGAAAAGAAAAATTAGAACTCTTTGCATTTAAAAAAAGAAACTAAATCTGGTTTACCTTGAATCAGCAACAATATAATTCATTCCACTGGTAGATAATTTTACTTGTGAAGTCAAATCTACTGAAATCAAATTAAATGCTCTTAATTCGAGTAATTTAAACTTACCTAGATATAACTTTTTGCAGTGTGGTTGGATTATATTATTATTATTAATCAAGGTTATCTGTGCATGAGTCCATGGGAAGTTAACTTTTAGCTGTACGTAAATACTTAGAGCAATGGTGTCTTTAATTGCACCCCTTCAGCTATTATACACTCTACTAAACTCAGTGTATCTCTTTAACTGTGTGTCTTGCTTTTGCTTGTCTTGTTATTACCACACCGTGACGGAAAACACCATGACCTCTCTGACCCCGCGCCGTATCTTTCCCCTTCAGGACAGGGAGGGGGAGCTAGCGCTGATCGACCGGCTGCTGTCCAATCCGCAGCTGTCGTCGTCCGAGTTCAAGGAGTGGAAACGCGCCTACGAAGAGCTGTTTCACCAGAAGGAACCGCAAGAGGGCGACGATTCTGACCCAGGACCCCCGCCCCTCACCCCGTCGCTCTCTCACACACACTCCTACATCGAGACCCACGTGTGAAGCAAAACAAAACATTTCCGCTGGAATTATCAGGGTTGAAAACGGGCGAATCGAAGTTTTACAGTGGCAAAGACAGTCGTGGAGTTTGTCAAGTTGGATGCATTGAAAGTGGACATTTTGCTTTCAACTAAATGACGACGTTTTGAGGAGTTGAAACTTCTATTTGGGGTGATCTAAGCCCCCTGTAATGCCAATCCAGTCTGCGATCTGATTGGTTGCGCTTTCGGTCTCCAGGGACCGTAGACAGGAGTATTTATTACATGTTAGCTCGTGTGCTTCAAATACCGCTAAAGCTACTCTAGTTTGTGCCCAACTTTTGTGAGAAATGTACAATATATTTGGACATTAGATTCATTCAGTCATCGATTTTATCATCACTTAATCAGCTCAGAGTAAGATGAGATTGTTCATGTCTGCAAATTTACAAGTATGTGGAAAAATGATGGTATATTTTGCATAAAGTACAAATTAGTTATCAAAATTGCCTCAGTCGTTAGTTATATTTTTATTATTTATTTACAACCTCCGCATAACAAGACGATGTTTACAACAATATTAAACAAATTACAGCAGTTAGACAAACACAAAAGAGTATTAAAAGCACAATTATTTTATGCATGCAGTTTTTATGGGGAAATTGTTTGCAAATGGATACCAGACAAACTTCTTTGTACAAAATAGTAAAACTTTATTTTTTTGGAAGGCCAGACTTTGAAGTAAGCAATGATAACAAAGAAACATATTTTTGGTTATAACTTTAATCTTCAAAACACTATTATTCCAGTGTCAAAATACAAATATTCAAAGCTTTGACAGTGATTTTTAGACAATAGAATATATTTGTCAACACCGAACAATAGCAGTTTTTTTTTTTTTATATTATCATGTGGTTTTATATTAGTTCTGTTAAATCAATCCATACTAAAACTACTAATTGAGAGATCATAGTTTGTCCTTTTTAAGCAATTGTTTTCAATATCGATACTTTATTTAAAGGCGCTCTGTGTGACTTTTTGGTCCGTGGAGGGTCCGTCACCTGCTTAGCTCTGCCTGAAATGTTCCACAGTATGACATTAAACAGCTCTACTTTACATTTACTCAATTACAGGTGGTTTTAAAGCTGAAAATACTTAGAAAAACATGGATTATGACAGTGAGTGGGGTTGCTTCTCCATTCCAGCATTCTCCCCATGGAGAAAAGCTTTTGACAGACCCTCCACCATCAAAAAAAGTTACACAATGCACCTTAAAGCATCTAGTTGCAGTACAGTATTTTACAATCTGGTATTGATTATTTTGGACAACTCTATTCCACTCTATTTCCACATGATATAGTGATTTGTGGACATGTCTTTTTGTTTTGGAGGCTGTGTTCTTTCGTGCCGGTCTATTTCTGAGCTGTCACTCATCTGTATTTTTACTGCAGTGACTCATTGGGGTCTGATCGAGCCGAGTGCCATGGACAGTCTCTGCAGCCTTATCCTCAGAGGCTTCACATCATATTTACTGTACAGTGGTGGTAATAAAGTACTACGGAGTATTACGGAGGAAATACAGGTGATTTTTACTTAAAGTAGTGTGAGTTCATAGATAGTTTTAGAGACTTTTCTTTGTGCCTGTTCTTTAGAGGTTTATACACTACTGGGCTGGACCTAAGACATGCAAATTAGAAGGAGGAACTCACCCTAAAACTTAAAGATGCACTGTGGATCTTTTCTGGTGACCTACTTGTATCCATGGAGAAGTTATTGCCTTGCCTAGAATGTTCCACAGTAAAGCATTAAGCATATATCTAGCATTTATTTGATTATATATGTGTTTCAAAGATATATTTTCAAACACAAACACATTTCTCCACACATCTGACCCGTAACTTTGTCTGGTGGTCAAAGCAAAAACATCTCCATGGAGACAAGCAAGTGATCTACCTTCCACCAAAAAAGTTACACAGTGCACCTTTAGACGACTTTATTATGGCATTCAAGTTTAGATTGAATGGTAAATTATATTTGCTTTCTCCAGTTTATACCTCGCACATTTACCATAGATATAAGCTACTTTCTGATACTTTACAGCTGGGGGTGTGATGCTAACTGGAAGCACTACTCTGTTAGAAGCTAAGTTACTCAAGTTAGACTCAATCTGATCTTTATTTAAACACAATCTGATCAGAAAGAACTAACTTGGAGCTAGGTGAGCTCTCTAGGTGAGGTGATTTGTGTTGTTATACACGTCCCTCTCAAATAACATTAAAGCCAACAATTTCTCACTTATGAGCAATCGTACTGAACCATGGATCTATAATAAAAACTGGATAAGGCGTTCCCCCTCTGTCCCAGCTCGAAACCGACTAGTAGCCACTCAATTGGTAGTGCAGCTCCCGGGAGTTTGGGCCCAAAAAGAATTCTCCCATAGAGCGCAATGCACTTTTGGTAATTCAAACTGTTCGTGTTCGGCTGACAGGACATCCACATCTTTCACAAAGGTCGGATTTTGTAGGGATTCTTTTCTATTTTCACAACATAAACTTTTACATCACAAATATATTTTTTTAAATCCTCAAAGCGCCTAAAAGTTAGCTTTGTAAAACTTAGTTTAGCTCCGCTCTAGCAGCTCTCGCTCTGATTGGTCCAAGCGTGCCACGCCGTGCACGTACTGACATTACACGGACTGGAGGCTCTAGCCCCTATTGAGGAAATAAATGTGGAAGAGAAAAAATTTTTTGGGCCCATGCGCCAATGAGCACAGGCCACTAAAAACAATACAAAGCCATCTTGGATTCATCTTCCAGATTTTATTATAGTTCTATGTATTGAACACAGGCTTCTGAAAATGTGTTATTAAATCCATTTTGTTTTCTTGAGTTTTGAGATGATCTTAAAACGTATTTGGCAGTGTTTCCTAATGTGTGTATTGTGTCACCATGGTAACTGGTGAACATTTCACAATACACATACATGTAGAACACCCCTAGCGTATTGTCACTGCAAAGTATCAGTAGCTATTACTTGCAACATGCATAATGTATTATGAATACCTTATTATTTTGGTCACATTTTCACAGTTTGTAGAAGCAAGCAGGATCTCCGCTATCTACATCTTCTTATTTCTTCAAATGCCAGTGTATTTTTAAATGTTTCATAGTGAATTTAATGCATATTTATCACACGATCCCTTCATTACTGAGGGGTTACAAATGCATACTAGTTGTTTCATTTGTTCTAGTTTAGACTCATTAGTTATTCTAGACATTTGTAGTCGTAATAGCCATACTAGATACAAAGCCATATTCTTGCTCTTGTCTGTTTTTCCAAGCTAAAAGCATGTCAGAAATCACTATTTAATTAACATTACTGGTTACTTATTCAAAATGTGATAGATTTTAAAGGTCCTATATGATGCGAAATTGACTCTTGTGAGCTTTAAGACATGTTAGAACGTTGTCAGCTCATCCAAAACAAAACAATGAAACAAAACACAACTCCAAGTCTGTTTTTAATGAGCAAACAACATTATAACATAAATCAGAAAATAGCGTAATATTGACTTTTAATATGGATCCTTTGGTAAACTTGTATATCAGTTAAATCTTCTATATATTTTCTAGTACAGCCTGGAAGCCATAAAGGGTGAATTTCTCCTCTGAGATGCATGCACCGTAGAACTATGTAACACTTATTTGCATAGAAATTGAGATCAGATAATTATATAGCTATAGATAGATTTTAACATTTGTACGCTGCTGCCAAATGACTTGATACCGAGAGTGCACAAAACTATATATATGAAAGCAATCTTCAGTGAAACAAGCACATACTGACAAACTAATAGACCCTTTAAAATACTTTGTCATCAGAATGTTCAAAAGTCTGAAACGGAGGCAATTGGACACACAGTGAAGGAGACAAAATATTTCCTTTTTTTCAGGTTTTTGATGATTATGGAAAAAATACACAACAATTTTGAATTTCCAAGGTACATATACTGTATTAGTTACTGTATTTTCCGGACTATAAGTTGCTCTGGAGTATAAGTCGCACCAGCCAAAAAATGCACAATGAAGAAGAAAAAAACATATATAAGTCGCACTTTTTGGGGAAATGCATTTTATAAAATCAGAGACCAGGAACTGACATTTCATCTTAAAAGGCAAATTATAGTAATAACAACACAATAGAGAACAACAGGCTGAAAATGCCTTAATATGTTAATGTCACATATGAACAGTTATTCAGATAATTATAACATAAACAACACAACATAAGTTTACCAAACTCACAATCTCACTCCAAATCACTAAATCCAATGAATTCTTCATCCTCGGTGTCACTTCTGCGCGACCTCCGGAGATAAACATAGATCTACGATGTAAACGGAGCACCTCCTCCTCTTCTGCGTAGCTGTTGTCAGAGTCAGCATCAGTTCCAGTTAGAATTATTCCGGCCTTTCTGAATCCCAACAGGATGGTTTCAGTTTTCATTGAAGTTCAGGCTTTGTCGATTCATCCAGTGACTTCCAGGAAAGTTGCACGCCGCACCCGCCTGGTTGCCATGAAGCTGTGTTCTCCATCCCCACTTTCCGCCAGTCCCTAAGTTTCTCGCTCACTCTAGACTTTGTTTCTCTATATTTCACTGTTTGCAGCAAGACAGCAGCTTTTTCTACAGGAGACATGCGCAGTAGAGTGAAGTGACAGAGGTACAGGAATAATCATAGTACTAGATACTGGCACACGAGCCTTGAGCACCGTCTCGCGGCTGTCAGTCTGAAAATTTTAATATATAAGTCGCACCGGAGTTGCAGGACCACCTAAACCATGAAAAAAGCACGACTTGTAGTCCGAAAAATACAGTAATTTGATTTTCTTTTACTGTTTTATATTTATTTGTTTTTACTCTGTTGTTTATATTATGTTTTATTGTATTACTTTTTTTTTTTATTTCTCTATGTGCATCACTTTGTTTATGAAACATGCTATAGAAATTTAGTGGGTTGGGTTCGAT